GCTCTTCCAGGGTCCCATGACTGAGCTCTCTCTCTGAGAGCAATGACTGTTTTCTGCATTCTCTTCCCCACCTTCCTCTCCTTCCATGTACTCCTCATTTCCTTCCATCAGCTGTAACTGTGCCAATACCAGCTTCATATTTGGGGTTTGTCTCGCGCCCCTACTTGTCACTCCCTTGCTCTGGAAAACACAGTAACCAAGAGCTCAGCAGCTCCTGGGTGACCTCATCCACAGCGTGGTTCCAGGGAATTGTTTGCTAATAGGAATCCTGCATCTACAGGGCAAGCCTCTGGGTCTTTCTACGGCCAACACTCCGTGGCTAAACTCCTAAAAGAAACACCTTGCCCTGTCTGGGGACCAGCAGTTAGCGTACTGGCTATGTAGCTGGACTCCCATGTAGTCGACCACGGTTCGAGTCCCGGACCCAGTGGCTTAAACTCACGCCGGGCGCGTGTGCATGCGTGCCCAGGATCCTGAGAGGAGAATGGAGGAGAAGGGATTGCAGTGTGGCCATCCCCTCTGGGGGGTGATTTCTCGCTTTCTGTCTCTCTGTCTCTGTCTGTCTGGCGAGCGCACACACTCTATAGCAAAAACCTCTCAAAAAAAAAAAAAAAAAAGAACATTTTGCCCTGTCTGATGAGGAGGGGGTCACAAGACTTGCTGAGGCTGTGGGGAAGATGGAGTCCTAACAGGAGCAAATATGGGGCCAGCAGCAGGAGGCATGGTGTTTAAGGTGTTGAACTCCCACATGGCCCACAGTGGTTCGAGTCTCAGACCTGGCAGCTTTCTCTCTCTCTGGTGAGCACATGTACCCTGCAGCAAATGAAAAATAATAATAAATAAAATAATAATTATTTAAAAAAGAAAGCAAGAGCGAAAAGATTTATTTGCCAGCCTGTAGTTTGGGGCTTGTTCAGAAAGATGACAGAAAGTTGTCCTCTACCTTGGATTAAAAAGCCCAGGTATGGGGCCAGCAGGTGGCATAGCAGTTATGTTGCTGGACTCCCACATAGTTACTGTGGTTTGAGTCTTGGACCTTAAGACTTGAAAAACATGCTGGACTCGTGTGCGTGCGTGCCCAAAATCCTGAGAGGAGAATGGAGGAGAAGGGATTGTGGTGCGGCCATGCCCCTGGGGGCTGATTTCTCACTTTCTGTCTCTCAGTCTCTCAGTTTCTCTGGAGAGCACACATGCCCTATAGCAAAGATCTCTCAAAAAAAAAAAAAAAAGAAGGAAAGAAAAAAAAAGAAAAGCTCAGGTGTTGGGGAGGCAAATGGCTTATTTGTTACATAGCTGGACTCCCACAGGGTTGACTGTGGTTGGAGTCCCAGACACAGTGGCTTGAAAATTATGCTGGGCACATGTGCATGTGTGCGTGCCCAAGAGCCCAGGAAGAGAATGGAGGAGAAGGGATTGCGGCGTGGCCATCCCCCCTGGGGGGTGATTTCTCTCTCTCTCTCTCTCTCTCTCTCTCTCGCTGATAAGTGCATAAGCCCTTGGGCAAGGACCACTTAAAAAAGAAAAAAATAAAAAGCCCTGTTGTCCTCCTCCCAGCCTAGGTACCTGTCGGAGGGGGCAGGAAGGCGGGCCTTTCGTCCCAGCAGGGCATCCGGCATCTGGAGAGCTTCGCAGCCTCTCTCCCTTCTAGCTGGGCCAGGCGGCGCTTGGGTCCTTAGCGCTATACCTCCGTCATCGTCTGCCCCTCTGGAAAGAGATGAAACGCCGCTGTTTACACGAAAGCTTCCAATGCAGAGGGGTGGCTCTGACTCCCTGTACAGTAACTGACTTCCCCCGGGGGACTCTAACCGTGCACCCTAGCTAGCAGTTGTTTATGCTCGTATCTGCTGGCTAGACCAGGAGCATATTCCATTTTCTATCTACTCTCTAAAATGGCTTGTTAGGTAAATATGTATGTTGTGGTTTAGTGAAAAAATAGGGGCCAGCCCTGTGGCCTGGTAGTCCATTGCCGACTGTGGTTCGAATCCCAGCCCTGATGGCTTGAAAAACATTTCTGGCACGTGCACATGCATGCCCACTTCTTGACAGGATGGAGGAATTGAGAAGGGATTGTGGTGTGACCACACCCCAATGAGGGGGGCATGCTTTCTTTTTCTCCCTCTCTCTATCTCTCTATCTCTTTGTGTCTCTGGCTCTGGTGAGCTTATGTGCTTTCTGGCAAAAAAAAAAAGAAAGAAGAAAGAAAGGAATGACACTGCTCCTATCTCTCTCTCTCTGTCTCTTTTTTGAGAGATTTTTTTCTATAGGTTGCATGCACTCGTTGGAGAGATAGAGAGACAGAAAGTGAGAAATCACCCCCTGGAGGGATGGCCACACCACAATCCCTTCTCCTCCATTCTTTTCCTGGAATCTATGGTACACAGGCACATGGGCCTGGCAAGAATTTCAAGCAACTGAGTCTGGGATTCAAACTATGGTTGGCCATGTGGGAGTCCAGCAACATAACCATTATGCCATCTGCCGGTCCCTCCCATCACTCTCTTCTTCCCAGTTGCTTCGGTGTCCCCTCCTCCTGCTCTCCCTTCCGAACTTTCAGCCAGAACTGCTCCTGCTCCTACTTTCCCCGTTACACGGACGTCCATCTGGATGGAAATGCCACTTCCATTGCTATGGCCACGGGGTGGCATTTTCTTAAGGAGTGGCCTCATTGTGGGCTCAGACACAGACTGGCAGGGAGTGGCAGGCCCGACACAGGATGCTCACGGCATCACCAGAGAAGCCCGTGTCCAGCAGCCTGCCGACAAGCTCTGGAGGGTCAGAGCTCAGGTCAGTGCCTTCGGGGTTTAGCCATGTCTCTGGAGCTCCAGCTGCGAGGGGCAGGGCCGATGGAGGTCTTGGCCCCAGTGATCCCTGGTAGTGAGCCGGGCGGGCTTTGGGGAAATCAAGGAAGCCAGTGAAGGAGCTCAGCGGGTACAGGGCTGTGCACTGGAGTCTGACGTGGGCACAGGGTGTGAGGGCGTCCGAGCATTGGGGAGCCCTGGATGCAGAAGGCCCCCACGGGTGCTGATGGGCTCAGGGGTCAGAGTCCGCACTGTTCTGTCAGCTGCGGGTTTTCGTCTGTTTCTTCTTCTTCTTTTTTTTAATAATTATTTTATTTAACTTTATTTATTTATTTATTTTAATTTGACCAGAGAGGGACAGAGTGAGAGAGAGAGAAGGAAA